CTGTCAAAATGCAGGTGTGTGACACACAGTTTGTTCAGCATTACCAAGGAAACAAAACCCCTCCCAGCCCCTTTCAGCTGTGGGATTTCTTTTCTGGACATGTGCAGATCCCCCATCAGCAGCTTCTCCATAGTGCAAAGGGAGCATTCAAAGGCAAAAACGGTTTTTGATAAGGCAGATGGCTCTGTTGGAAACATTTTGAAAAACCATCCAGGCTAGGCATGGTGGCTCATGCCTGTAATCTCAACACTTTAGGAGGCCAGTGTGGAAGGATCTTTTGAGCCCAGGAGCTAGAGACAAGTCTGGACAACATAGTGACACCCTCATCTCTGCAAAAAAGAATAAAATAATTTAGCCAGGTGTGCTGGTGCTTGCCTATAGTCTCACCTATTCAGGTGGCTAAGGGAGGAGAATCACTTAAGCCTAGGAATTTGAGGTTGCAGTGAACAGTGATCCTGTCACTCCACTGAGCTCCAGCCTGAGCAACAGAGTGAAAAGAGAGAGAGAGAGAGAGAGAGGAAAAGCTACCCAGAAGAATGGAAGACCCACTTCTTCCTGGTCCATGAACTGAGTCTGATGTTTTCATCTCACCTAATAAAATAAAATCCAGCATCATAGGTGGAGGCTGAAAGCCTAGTTGGCTGTAGCCATTCTTGGGCTGATAGAGGTATCTGATGATGCTATCTTACTGCTTAGTTAACCTGAACACATTATTTTGCACCATATTAATGGTATGTCATATTATTTACTGCAAAATGTATCATGAATAAGTTTAAGAAAATAATTGTATATCACATGTAAATTTGGACTCAGCAATGTTAGTGATGCCAAACAACCACATATTGTCTGCGTAGGTGGCTGAAATGGTGACATCTTTATTTTCTGATGGTTTGATGTATACAAACTTCATTTTATACACTAAATTATTAAAATACTGTATAAAATTACATTACGTGTATAAGGTATGTGTAAAGCATAAATGGATTTTCCATTTAGGGTTGGGTCTCATCCCTAAGATACCTCATATATGTGAATATTCCAAAATCTGAAATACTTCTAATCTCAAGCATTTTGGATAAAATGGTTGATAAATAGGTTGGATACACCCAACCTATGTATAAGAAAGCCATTGACTTTTGTATAGTAACCTTGTATCATACAACCTTGATATAATCATTTATTAATTCGAGAAGCTCTTTGTTCGGTTCTTTCAGATTCTCTGTAAACAAAACAATTTTATTTCTTCTTTCATGATCTGTATGCCTTTTATTTCTTTTTCTTATCTTACTGCAGTAGCTTTGTCCAGTCTACTTCTAAGTCCATCACGGCATTCTTCTTTTCTGCCATAGTGTTTTTGATGGCTAGCGTTTCTGTTTTGGTTCTTCTTAGAATGCCTGTCTCACTGCCTACATTACCCATCTGTTGCTGCATGCTGTCTGCTTAGTTTATTAATCATAATTGTTTTAAATTCCTGATCTGATGATTCTAACATCTGAATCTGAATCTGAATCTGGGTCTGATAGTTGCTTTGTCTCTTCAAACTGGTTTATTGTTGTTGTTTCACCTTTCAGTATGTCTTATAATGTTTTCTTGATACCAGACATAATGTACTGGGGGAAAAAAACTGCCATTAGTAGACCTTTAGTGAAGCGGTGATATGGTGAGGGTAGGGGTACGATGACATTCTATAGTCATATGATCAGACTTTTGGTGAGCCTGTGCTCCTGGACCGTGAACTCTCCCAGTGCTTCTCAGTTTTCCCCTTCTCTCTAGGAGGGACAGGATGGGTTCAATGGGACGGGGTCAGGTATTCTGCTTCCCCAAGGTAGATTAGGCTCTGATAAAACCCCAACCGATGAAGTCTAGCTTCTCCTACAGGCAGACATTATTAAGAACTGAGTACTCTGGCATATTTCAAAACGCTTCCCTCCTCCCCCTGCCAGAGCATGAGGCGGATGCTCGGATGCTTATTGTGAGGACCTTGTGGAACTCCTGGAGAGGTGTGGGCCTCCTGATGACTGGGTAGTTTTTTTTTTTTTTTTTAATTAAATCATAGCTGTGTACATTAATGCAGTCATGGGGTGTGCTGGTTTTATATACAATTTGAAATATTTTCACCAAACTAGTTAACATAGCCTTCATGGCATCTTCTTAGTTATTGTGTTAAGACATTTATATTCTACATTTAGAAAGATTCAGACTGGGTAGTTTTATGTAGAGTTTTATTCGTCAGACCTGTCGGCACTGAGCCTCCAGCATTCATCAGCTGTAGTTCAATTTTTCCAAGCTCAGCACTGATTCCCATGGAGGTTTTCACTCCAGGAAGTTGTGATTCTCTGCACACTTTAATTTTCTTAGGATCTAGGTTTCTAGACATGGCATTATTAGGTCAGAGGGTGTGCAGGCCTCCAAGGCTCTGACGCTTTATAGGAATCACCGAACAGCCCACCCTAAATTTATATCCCACCAAAAATGGGCATGTCACTGTTCCCTGAATACTGGCCACCACTGTGAGAGGCTGTGTATTCATCTTTGCTGATTTGACAGTCAAATAAATAATAAATAAATAAATAAATAAGGAATCTCTTGCTTAAAATTGTATTTCTTTGATTATTAGTCACGTATAACATTTTAAAGTGAGTTTCATGACAATTTGCTTTTCCTTTTTTGTGAGTTCCCTGATTTTTGCCCTTGGCCTCTTTTGCTTTCTGAAGTATCTTTTCCCCTCACTGTTCTGTTAAGTCTTTATTTAGTAAAGATATTCAGCCTTTACTTTTCATATTTACTGCAAGTATTCTTCTACTTCATTTGCCTTTTTGCTTCTGCTATTTTTAACATATTTGGTTTGGCTGTAACCAAATTTTTATTATCATACCTTGAAATACCATCCTCAATTCAAGATTAAACATCTATTCTTATTTTCTTCTTGAACATTCCAAGTTTTTTGCCAAAAATTTATGCCTTTAATCCTTAGGGAATTAACTTAGCATATACCGTGGGTAAGAGATCTAATCTTCTTTTTAAGGGTTAGCCACATGTAACCACATTTTCTGACTGATTGTTGCTGGTATGTGAAACAGCCAATGATTTTTATGTATTCATTTTAAAATTGGCAGCATTTCTTAAGTTCTCATGTATTCTAATTTTTAGTTGTTACTCTATTTTTCAGAGTAGAAAATTGTATACTCTTCTTTCCAATATCTATACTACTTGTTTTATTTCCTTTGATTTTTTTTTTTGGCTCTAATTTCTAAAACTAGTGTTAAATAATAATGTAGCTTTTATGATTTTTTTTATTTTTCTTACCAAATTGATCTAGTATTTTTAATTTTTAAGTTTTACAAAATTAAACATTTTACATGGTGTTTTGCTCTTGCAAAAACTCTGACTGTGGGAAGAGTTGATTACCCTTCCCTTCATATGATCGGTGGGGTCTGAGGGCCCCCTGAGCTGACTGAGCTGGTCTTGGCACTAGACTTAGGACTCTGCCAGTTGTGACCTTGAGAGGGGACCGAGGCGTGGATGTCACAGACACTTGTATGTATCTCCCCACAAGCCAGTACTCCACTGTGGCCCTAATGGTGATCACAAATTGATTTGTTTGATGTTTTTTTAAGCTGGGAAATTAGAGGAGATGACAGGGAAAATGAAAGGTGGGACTACCTCTGGCTGCCCCCACAGCCTCCCTTGTTCCCTCCAGAGGAGCAGCTTGGAGACCTTAGAGGGAGTTCTCAGTACAGAGCAGAGCCCACTCCTCCAATGAGTTCTCCAAAAGATGCCCAGGTATAAGAACATTGCCTGGCCCTGTGAGCACCCCAAGAAGGGGCCTTCCTTCTACCTCAGTGCTCACAGCAAGCAGCTTCTCAGATAATTCATGAAGTTCATGGGCCTAAAGCACCTCTGTCTCTGCCCCTGAGAGAGGCCTGGGAGTCCCACACTGTTGCTGAGGAGTACAGTATCGTTGTCTTCTCGGGAAGGCAGGTGGTACGTTCAGCTCTAACGGGCTGTTCCCTCAGGCTGCACTTGGCCATAGATCTTTGGCTCACTAGAGTCATACATAGGCCAGAGGGTCTCCTGGCTTCCAAGGACAGGTGACAGGGAGGTTTAGATCTGGAAGGAGGTTAGGCAGACAGGCCTTGGGGGCCCCATGATACACCTTGGCTACTGGAAGGATGGTTCTGGGAAAGGGAGCAGTGGCCAGCTGGAGAAGTGTGGTATAAGCTGTCCCTATGATGGGACAGTCCTGCCCTCTTAACTTTCACTGAAACTGTGCTGTCTCTTTCCTCAGGATTCCTCTCTGGCCACTTCCCCCTGTCCATCCCCATCTCTCCTCAGTCCATTCTCTCTCCCACCCCTCCTGCCCACGTCACCCTGTCATGGGGCTCCATGGCCTCCCAGCGCCTGTGAGTTCCCCGAGTCTCTCCTTCCTCCCTGCTGCCTATCTGCCAATCCCAGTTTCCTCCTTGCTCCTAGTCTCTCCCCTTCTCCTTCCATCTGTTTCTACTCTCTGCATTTATACTTGGTATTGTTTAATATTTCGAAGAATTTAAGAGGGTTATTCAAAGCTTTATGTACCCATGACTCTTAATAAATGTAGTTGATCTGGGGTATTTTTTTGTTCTTTGATGGAGCCAGAACCTTAAAACATTTCATACATAGCTGAATTTATTTTTATTCCAAGCATTTTTATTTCATTAAATAAATAATAGGGACATGCGTTTTAAAACACTAACTCTATTGTAAATTGCCAAGCTTTTCCATTTGGGGATGGTTGCAGCTATAATTAAAAGCACTAGAGAGAGAGAGAGAGAGCGCACCACGCTCCTGGGTGAAGGTGGAGGGGACCTTTTCACAGGTTAGATACATGAGTGGACAGCACATTCTGCTTAGAGCCATTCCTTAGTCTTTCCTCAGCCCCCACAGTGCTAATCAGCCTCTTCTTTTCTCTGTGTCGTGTGTGTCCATGTGCTTTGCACACATGGTGGCCCTGGAAACCTCAGGATGAGATTCTGACTGTGCTGAGGAGAGTGGACGAGAACTGGGCGGAAGGCATGCTGGGGGACAAGGTCGGCATCTTCCCGCTCCTGTACGTGGAGGTAAGGTCCTGTGCACTCACCTGCTTTTATGCCTTTGTTTTTTGCCAGACTAGGGGTGCTCTGACCTTGGAGCTCCTTTGCTAAAAGAGAAAACAGTATAGGTCAGATGGCTGCCGTGTGTGGGTTTGATTCAGATCATGAGGGCAGCTCTGTGACCTCTGCCTCGGCCAGTTCTAGATCAGTCCCAGGCCCGCTGCAGCATCTCACCATGTGGGCAGTCACAGCAGGCCCTGTGCAGGCCTCCCCCATTTCCTTATGGGACACCTGTACCTAGCACCCATTTTCCAGAGACCCTCCCAAGTGCTGCTCTGTCCCCAGCTCCAGGGGGGAAGAGCCCATCCCCGAAGGCAGTATGTCCCCCTCACACTGTGAACAGACCTGAAGGAAACGTTGCTGGCCGTCTGCAGGGTCCTCCTTGGACTCCGGATTATTGGGCACCTCAGCCAACCAAGAGTCACTAAAGCAAAGGTGACTTGAAGCTAATCTGAGACCTATTACTCTCCTGTCTCTTCTCTAGCTTTCTAAGGAGTATATCTGGGCAGTTGCTGAGCAGGGGGCATCTTAGCATGTCTGCATGTGAGCTCCCCGCTCCCAGGGCTGTGAGTGCCAGGAGTGTTTGCCTGTGGCACATGTGCCTTCCATTTGTCAGTGTGAGGCCACACATATATGTCATGAGCTGACCACAAGCTTTCATCCTGTAACCACTGGCATCATCCCACAAAGACCATTTCACCAAACACTCTTGAGTCCCTGTCTGTTTCGTCTTCTCAACACTGCACAAGCAAACCATGAATGCCCCAGCTTTACAGACGAGCAGAGCATGGCAAGGTTGCATCGTGGTTCTGAAGTCCCACAGCACATGACCCAACCCCGTGCCCTCCTGCCCCCACCCACATCACCTCTCACTAACACTGCAGCCTGCTCAGCCTGGGGCAAGGGCTGCATAAGCCACCAGCCCACCTGGCGCACTGAGGGCTTATAAGCCAGCACCAGGAGTGCACAGGTGATAACAGCTTTGCACAACTACAGAGTGCTGTGTGGATGCTGGCGGATATTTCTTTAGAACATGTGGTAGTTCCCTGTTACCCAGGGATGAAGCCCAAATCCTCCAGCCTGGCATTGAAAGCCCTGTGCAGTTTAACCCTCATCTACTTTGCCAGCCTCATCTCATTATTTCCTTCCCTCTTCCCCAAATATTCTGGCCAGGGGTTCTGTCACATGTGCTTTGAATGAGCTGCCTAGAAGATTCTGAGGCCCTTCCACAGCAATGACAGGAGTTCTTCACACACCCACCCCTCAGTAGGGACCTGTAGAATTCAAGCTCCCCCAGATACTTTGAAAATTTCCATTCACTTGTCCACTTGTTCAGCTTCTCTGTCCTGATGCTTAAGATTAAAGAACTTAATGTATGAACACCACTTATGGAGTGTCAGAAAGTCAAAATCTGACATCATACACATTTTTACCCAGGGAAACTTTTTTCCCAGGCAGAATCTCCTGGGATAGCCAGAGACATGTACATGCATGTTCACAGGAGCGTTATTCTGATGGCCCCTAATGGGAATCCACTGGAGTGATCAGCAGTGGAAGGGCTAAGTAAAACATGGTGTCTCCATCCAGTGGAACTCTCCATGGTGGAAACAAGCCAAAGACCATGACCTTTAAAATCATGGCTGAATCTCACAGAGTTTTGAAAGAAGCCAGACATAGAAGAATATATGCTGTAGTGTGTTTGATTTTTTTTGGAGGTTCAAAGGCAGGCAGAGCTCCTCTGTGGGGACAGAAGTCAGAGCGGTAGTGACTATGAGGGATTGTGACTGGATGAGGTAAGAGGGAGGTTCTGGGTCTGGAAAGTTAATATATTGATCTTAGGATCAGGTTCTGCCTCTGCTTCTAGGCACAGCCTCCTTCTGTCCACCTGTACTTCCAGGGTAAGAGGCTCAGGACAGCCCCGAAGGCTCAGAAAAACACCTTCTTGGGAGCTCCCTGGGGAAGGGACCTACCAGCCCCCTGCCCTTTCCTGCTGCAGCTGCCCAGGCAGTGCCCACTCTGTGCCACGCATGGACGTGCTACCCAGGAGCCTCAGCTCTGAGACAGCCTCCTGGATGCTTAGCAACACTGAGACCACCCACATGGGCATTTCCTGAGACTGGGTCTCACTGGTCACATGTGGACTCCTTTGGAAGTGTTGAACTACAGAGGCAAAACCCATGAGGGTCTCAACCATGTATATATGCCCCCGGTGGATAGGAAAGGCATGAGTCAGCCCAGAGTGCTGCCCTTCTGGGAGGTGAACAGGCTCCTGCCTCAAACAAGGGCAGTGACAGGAAGATGAGAGTGCACAGACCATGGCAGGTGTCCTCCTGTGAGAAGCATCCCTTGCAGTAGTGTCATTGTTATAAATGTTTGTGGAATGAAAACCATTCATCGGTCTATTCATGCATTTATTGAAGATCTTTGTGTCATTCCTGACACATTCCATGTGGCTGCATGTCTTTTGAAGATAGATGATGCCTTTTCCACCTCAGGCAGCTTCCCACGCTGAGGTTTGCAGTTGGATCACATCAGTGAGGCCAGGGCACGGAGGTTTAAGGTACAGACACTCAGACTGTGTGACAGGGGAGGGGCCCCGGATGGTTACCTGGATAGATGCTCACACGAATGCCCCCACCCCACATGTGTACATGAAGCCCCTCAGATTTGTAACGCATCAAGTATCTGTCATCCCTGGGAGAAGGAACCCCTTCTTAGGTTCCCCCAATATTCTGCTGGGAAGAGAGGTCAGACAGAGGCACAGTGCAGAGCCCTGCCTTAGTAGCCAGATCCTCTGCCTAGTGCTCTACTCAGGGAGAGTGTGGCAGGCACATGGTCCTTCTCTCCATGTGGCTGATGAGGGGCATAAAGCCGTAGGGTCTGTGCAGGGCAAGGCTGGGGCACGCGGTGGGCTGGGTGGTAGAAAACGGGGGATACAGACTGATGGTGGGGCCTGTGGGGCACTCCAGGGTCCGCTAACTCCCAGAAAATGCTGTCACATTGGTAGCCATGGTAAGATTACCCCCAAGATTGGAAAGGGAAGGAGCTGCATGGGGCAGAGAATTCTGACTTTAGGGAGCCAGACCCCAGCCCTGTGTCTGGGACCAGCCCTCTTGTGCTTCCATGTGGGTGTGAACAAACTCTACATGGTGTTTGCCATGTTCTTTATAGATCCTGGAAAAAATAAAAGCAGCAAAAACTAAAATCCTGATTTAGCCAAATGATTGTAATACCTAGAAAAGTAGCAGAAGCCCCCAATGACAGCCGTTTCCAATTTGAGAGTCCTGATCTTCAGTGCAGTGGTGGCGCGTTGTCAGACAAATTTGTTCTAAGCCTCAGTCAGTTGCAGTGTTGAACTCAGTTCCTCTTGCTCACATAGCACGGTTGTCTCTTGTCTGCTTTTTAATTTTTATAAAGAGAGAGGATATTGCTCTGAACCTGTGCCTCTAAATAGGATGTTGAAGCACTGGTAATGCCTCACTGGAGGATTGAAAGTGCTCACTGGGGACAGAATGTCTGTGCTGTTGTTACTAATTGTGCATGCTCTGCGCTGTCCGAAGTTGTGGGCAGCTCATCTGTAAGTTGGATTTGCCATCTCATTGTGCTTGTTATTTCTTCACTTGGGTCTTATGAAGTTTAAGCCCTTGCTGGGGCAGGCAGGATGTCCTCGGGGAAGAAGGTGAGGAAGGTTAACCTCTAACAAGAGCCATGAGTAAAGGCCCCTTCCTTCTCCCCAGCACCCTGCAGACCCATCTATTCACTGGTCTAGGTGGGCAGACCCATAGTTGTGCTCCTGGGCAAGGGGGCTCCTTCCTGGCCCCCCAGCCTGTCTCTGCTTACCCTCTTCCTTCCAAGGACGCCCTTAGGTTCTCAAAGAGGGAATTAGCATGTGAGGAAGCCACATGGGTGGTGGGAGAGGAGCAGGGACTCTGGGCCTCTGCACCCCACTGATTCCAACTAAGAATGCCGGGCAGGGTTAGAGCACCTCAGCCTCTTAGTCTCTACTCTGGAACCAGAGGCTACTGGGCTTTATTGAGCTGTTTGATGTTCCTGAGCATTTTCTCACTTCTTTGCATGCCAGGTAATTTCTAATTGGACACTGATGTGAATTTTACCTTCTCAGGTATTAGATGTCTTTGCATGCCTGCACATATTCTCGAGCTTTGTTCTGGGATCCCGCTAAGTTACTTAGACTTAGTTTGGTGCTTTTGAGTTTGGTCCTGATTGTTAGGCAGGGCCAGGCAGCCTTTTATGTGGGGCTGATTTTTCCCTGCTGCTGAGGCTGTGACCTTCCCTGCGTATTGCTCTGTGGTTTATGAGGTTTCTACTCTGGAAGGGGGGGGATGCAAGCTGTTCCAGCTACATGTGAGCTCAGAGATTGTTTTGCCTCCTTCTTGTCTGGGGTTCTTTCTCAGTCCTGGGTCCTTTCCTCTTGTGAGTGCACTGTCAGTCTCAGCCTATGAGGGGGCTCCCTGCTGATCTCCAGGACTCCCCCATGCCTCCAAGACTCTGGCTCACAGAGTCTAGCTACCATGGTGTCCCCAGACTCCACCCTCTGTCTTCTCAGTGCAGGGTGGGGTTCCACCTCTTGGTGATTGCGTTCCTGAGCTTTCTGATGTCCCATATCTAGAAACCATGTGTTATAGATGTTTTCAGTGTTTGGGGCTGATGGGTAAATATGGTTCCTGTTCTTCCATCTTGGCTACCTAGATACTAACCAGTGATGCTTCACGAATTTTCAAATAAGGGTCAGAGAATAGAATACTGTCTATTCTATTTGTCTTTTGGCAGAAGACAAAACCTATAGGTTAGCCATGCTGCTCTGGTGCTGAATCTGCCCAGCTTCAATAAAGAGTAAACAATTTGGACTTTGTCTTAGGTGAAGAACTGGGAGAAGCCTTTGAGACCGTCACTTCCTAGGGAGATTGGTTCCAACCAAGCTCCAAGCACCGCTTGTGGTCCTGCTC